TAACTTTTCTAACTAAACAATCAATAAAAGTTTGAAGGGGACAGATAATTTGTTTTGTTCTAGTAAAGAATCAGTTCAAGTTGCCATACTGTATTAACACAAAGATGCAATTGTCACTTGAAATCTCATAGTAGTAGATAGAGGTAGTAAAAGTATTAGAAGTAATCAGAGAGAGAGAGTAGGGTTCGAGGATATTATTCAACAAGTAGAATCTAGTGAAATAAACTTAAAATACGGGAAGATAAAGATGACGAGGAACTCTGAAAGTCAGGATTTGAGAGAATGCAAAGCATGAATGCACCTGCTCCATGTCATTCACGATCTCTAACGATCGATTACTATCAGTTCGCGGTCTCCAACCAAGGTAGTCGATATCTACCAACATGATTCTAGTAATGAATGCTTTAAGAGTGCACATCCTCAACAGGAGAATCGACCCCAGGACGTTCAGGTCATATATATAGCCTTGTGGATTCGAATGATTTCCTCGGTAATAGATAGATACTATGGTAGATAATAACATACAAACCACCGATTTCTAGAATTCCCCTTTTTCTCAACTTCTGCAATCTTTTCCGAATAATTATCAAGAGAGAGACCAGCGACCCCCCCCGCCCCCGTCATCCACTCAGATTGTTGTTTTATTTACTGAGTAATAGAAAAAACAAAATTCAATAATCATCAATCAGTCATTGTTAGACCACCATTAGAAACCTGGAAGCACTGGACGGCCGTTTCGTCCTGATATGGGACTCATCAGTCCCATGGTAAGACGTTCGCCTACAATGCCAAAGGTCCCGGGTCCGAATCCTGCGAGGAGCAGGAGTCGTGGATGCACACTGCTGATGAGTCCCATACCAGGACGAAACGGCCGTTCAGTGCTTCCAGGTTTCTAATGGTGGTCTAACAATGATTGATTGATTATTTCAAAATCGCAAACCTCCAAAACTGTGCCTCCCAAAAAAAAGTCAATAAGCCGAATAATTTAAATAAAAGTTCATCAGATCGATAATCTGTTTACCGACTAGTTAATAGATTTCAATGAGATTTTTAGAAAAACTCACACACACACACACACACACACACTGGAAGAATGAATAATTTGAACACATACTTGAGATAAAATACACATAAAATTTAAATGAAAATTTATCTACTATTTACTTCTCCACTTAATAAGTAGAATTTCTTTTAAGGGAAACCTATCAATTAATTAATAAAATTCAAGATAATAATAATAATAATAATAATTATTATTATTATCGTTAAAGCCAATAACATCGAAAAGGGAACAAAGTTAAACAAAGAAGAAAAAGAAACTGACTAACAAATCATAAACAAACTAGTAACATAAAACACCCTATAATTAAACTGATTCAATTCAATTTTAATTCAATTTACAATTATTTATATATTTTTTGGCCTTCTCCTACTTCTTCTTCTTTAATGATAACAAGATAATTAATGTGTGTGTGTGTCTTGTCTTGTTTTGAGAATGTTTGGTGGTGTCGTTTTTAACTCCTGCCTAGTTTCCATATGTATATATGTATTTGTATACTAGTCGTTTGGTTACAGGGCTGCTTTTATTAAATTACACTACCAAGACAATGTAAACAAAACACCTGCATCGTCGTCATATATGGTGTAAGGCATTTGAGTTAAGGATAAAAGAAAAGAGGATAGATGATAGACTATGGTTTGTACAAGCTTCTTATTCATATATATACGCATACCAGCCATGCCGCATACATACATATACAAATGAATGAAGTGAAATGAAATCTTCAAGATAACACAGATTAACCTAGTCCGGACAAAAAAACAACGCAAAGAGAGATTATCTCATAAATCTAAAAATTAATAACCAACCAATTAGGAAAATGCCTAATCCAATGTTTGTCATATTTAATTGTCTTTATTTATTTTATTACTTCCTTTTTGCTCTCTCTCTGTGTGTGTGTTTGAGTGTGTGCGCACACACACACATCTTTCTTCCGATAGTAATTTCGAATTATTATAGATAATTATATATCACGTAGAGCGAGAGAGCGATCGATCGATCGATAAACCATCATTATCTGAGCAAATCTCTCCCATAGTCACAGACATATAATAATTGTTTATCTTCTTTCTAATTGATAAGTACCGAACAGTGCGAGAGAGAGATATGGAAAGAGAGAGAGAGAGAGATGAATTATTATCATTATATATTATTTTCATTAAAAAAAAATAAAAAATAAAATTGAGGATGTGATTTTCAAACTGGAATTTATTTCCTCCTATGCAGTCGAAAATACATTATTTTAATTTTAAATATTAAACTACTTATAAGTTGGTTCAGTAGACTAAAACTCACTAAAAATTAATATTAGAAATCATCAATCGATGATTGTTAGACGTGACCAATGGAGTCGGGTGTAGGCAGTAACTATCAAAGACAAATGGGTAAGGTGGCGCAAAATCCCTAGATCAATCAGAGTTAGACATTAATTAACACCGTTGGATGCCGGCCGGCCCAGTGGTCCAATGGTAAGGCGTTCGCCTACAATGCCAAAGGTACCGGGTTCGAATCCTGCGAGGAGCAGGAGTCGTGGATGCGCACTGCTGATGAGTAGTCCCATACCAGGACGAAACGGCCGTCTAAACAGTGCTTCCAGGTGGTCTAACAATCATTGATTGATGATTTCAAATGTGTAAAATCGCAAACCTCCAAAAAACTCTGCCCCTAAAAATTAATATGGCTAATCAGTTCGTAGAGATTTTAATTTCTGATTGACAAAATCAGTATTTTGCTATTCAACAGTATATAGAACGAAATAAAAGAAAATGAAAGCAGTCAATGCACAATCAATCAATCTTAGGCTTGAGTAATTCATGTTTCTAATTTATAAGTGTTTATATACTGTCCTTCTTGAATAATAAATAGTGTTGAATAAAAATTAAGAGAGAGACATGGTAAAACTATTCCCTTTTTTTTGAATTTCTCTAGTTTTTTGCAATAAACTAACGCATATTTATATGAGTAGTATAAAAGAAGGGCTTAAAGTAATTAAAAGTTTTATTTTGTTTTTTTTACTTCTACGCAATTAAAAATGATCGTCAATTCATCATCAGTAAGTAAATAGTTTAATTGACATCATAAATTAAGTTTTACATGATCGACAGACAGTATTCTCTCTCTCTCTGATAAAAAGTTGACTGTGAAAAGAAATGAATCGCTCGCATGTAACAATAATAATAATAATATTAATAATAATAATGATAATAAACTAAAGTGATTTCTCCCTCTCTCTGTGTTGCTATTGTTTGTCTTTTTTTGTTTTCTCTTTCCTATTTCACCCCCCTTCTTGTGGTTTTTCACTAGTTTTCTTTTTGTTTTGTTTAAATGAAATAATTCAATTCAAGTGTCAATTGTAAGTAGTAATATTTGACAAAAAAATAAAAACTATTTTTATTAATTGAATGGCAGTTAACAACTAACTAACTTTCAATTACTTGAGATTTCCTCTGTTCGATTATTATTTATTGGTTGTGTGTGTGTGTGAGTGTGTGTTTGAGGCGATTTGTTTGGTAAAATGGTAGAAGCATTAAATTAAAAATCTTCCTTTTTTTTCTCTCGCATAAAACAACCTTTTCGTCGACAATTGTGTGTTGCCTTTTTTTTCATTTATGAAGTGGATTTTCACATTGTTTGAAGGTTCGATTTATTGATTTTTTACAATATGATAACTGAAAAAGAAGAAGAAAGGTGGTGATTAATTTGAAGTTTGAAAATAGAATGCGTATCTCAAATACTGTTTATGTTCAAAAAGGGGGATATTGTGAAGAGCAAACTTGCGGTACTATTGTAAAATTGAAGATTGCAGGACTGTGGAGAGTTTTCATTGGTTCAGACAGACAGACAGACAGACAGGTACAAAAACGCAGAACTTCGTACGTAAGTACATCAGTTCAGGTTGACATTCCCCATCAGCACAGAGACACAAATGTCAGTTCAAATCCAAGATTGACAGAGGTAGTAGTGTTGTGAATGAGAACACAGGTGGGGTAACCGAATTGTATTTAACAAAAAAATTACAGAGTTACTCAGTAAAATCGGAAAACCATATCGTAAATTGTTCATTTGCAAAATATCAGCTCATCATATCGAACTGGACTGTTCCTGTTGCAAAAGATCAATCCATTGTCACTATTCATGCGTTAAATACAAATTCCATTGTATTCTAACTCTTCCTTTCTTGATCTTCTCCCATCTTCTACTGCCAGACATTACGTTGACATTCACGTCATATACTACTTATAAGTAGCTCGCACCACAGTAGAAGTATTAGCGGTAAGGAGTGAAGATATGATTCGAAAAGTATAATTCAGTAAGACAAATTTAGAAGGAGAAAGATACCGATTATGAGGAATACAGAAGGTTAGAATTTGAAAGAACACAAAGAGTGAATACACCTGCGCCATTGCAAACGATTCTGAGCGATGTCATTCAAGGTAGCCTACATCTACCAACATGACTCAGTCCACTTGTCAGTGACTTCATCGATTTCTGCTATGTTTTGATTTGGCCGCCCCTATCTTTCTTCCAATCTACTCTTACACTGCAAAACATAGCTCATCCCGGCAGTCGGTGGTTAGCCATACGTAATCTTCGCAAAACTCCTTTAACACTATAATAGTCAGCGCGCATCAGTGATTTACTATTACAGGGTGTGCTTGAATTTCTAGTGAGTTTTCAGTGGTAAATTTGAATTATTAAAACTTTTACACAAGCTCAGAAAGTCTTAGATTCAATTTCTGGTAGGTTTGCGGATCTTTTTGGTTGAATAACTGATGAACTTAGTTAGTGAGGTTACAAGTGCACAGAGCGCGACAGTTTGTTTTGGATTTCACGTATGTTTTGATTAGGGTTTTCGCCTAACTCCCCCCCTTCAATCACCCAACATCCTAACATAGTTCACATGATATCGAGATATATTTAGACTAGTTGTCATTAAAATATGAATACCTCTAAAGCACTAGATAAGAATCATAATCATTTATTACAATTGATTGTATTCTACATAGTGTTGTATACATCAAGAACCATCAATAATTATTCATTGATTTTTTATATACTTTGTTTTCTACTTTCCATTCAATTAGATTCACATCGTATGAATAATAACAATCTATTCGGATCATGTGAAGATCAATTAGAAAATCAATATCCTGCTGATATTCAAAAATTTATTTTCAATGAATTGTTGTCATCACAAACTCCAACACCATCATCACTACTAACAAATGGTAGTAGTAGTAGTAGTACAACTATAAATACTAACAATCTACTTTGGGAATATTTTTTAAATCGTTTACAAAATTCAAATAATCCTTCGTCATCATCATCTAAACCATCTTCTTCATTACAAAATGGTATTATCCATACTGACAATTCATATCCAATTGATTTAATCAATTCACCAGATTTATCAAATTTATTCAATTATCAATATTCTTCTCATATGAATAATATTGATTTTAACAAATTTTTACAATATACCACCACCAGTCATTTAATAAAAGTTAAAGAAGCGAATGTGAATTTGAATTTTGATCATTCAACAATGAATAATAATTCTACTGATTTAACAAAAACACTACCAAATGGTCTTACATTGTGCAATGTATTATTAGATAAATTGAAAGATGATTTTACTACATTGAACAATGATAGTACAAATTTAATAAGCACTCATTCTATAGATCATCATTTAACAAAATTAACACAATCGGATAATTTACAAAATTATTGGAAAAAATTTCAATTATTATTATTTAGTAATAATGATTTAAATGGTGTAAATAATCATGATGATGACAATCATGATGAGAGTAGTAGTACTACTACTAATACTACTACTACTAATAATAATAATATTAGTAGTAGTGATAGTAACAATAATAATAATAGTAATAATAATATTACACAACAAATGATGCAATATTATGCATTGTGTGCATTTGTTCAAGCTGCTACCCTACTATCGACTTCATCGAATTCTACATCAACATAAAATTGGAATATTATAAATAAGAAATAAGATCGGTATACAAACATGTAGATATGAATAGGAGGATAGATTGATAGATAGACAGACAGACAGATGAATAAATGAATAAATAAACTTATAATTATCCCTGTGACAATTGCCTTTCATTATTTATTGTGCAGATATTTATATATATATATCTATATATATTCGAGGAAAAGCAAAGCCACATTCCTAAAGAAAAGTACATGGATAAATTACCTCAATACTACTACTAATACAACTACTCAGTACTACTCAGTACTACTAGTACTACTACAATTACAGTGATAACTATTTTCATCATAACATTGTTGTGACACAATACAATTATGCTTATAAATATGTATAATGAATTAGAAATCACCATACACAATCACTCACTCTTATATACATATATATATATACCTATAGTTTAATCAATAGAAACTCCTTGTTACTACTAATATAGTACTTTATGATAATCATTGTCTTTACTGTTGTAGTCAGTGTCGTTGGTGTCGGTGTCGATGTTGTTACCGTTGATCTCAAATGCTCATTTGTTCCAGTTTGATTTTTTTTTTCTGTACATGAACTTTTCTTCAAATCTATTTTTGTTTGTTTTACTGACCATTTTTCCTATTCATTCACTTGATTTCTTCATATGATCTGTTGTTTATTGATTGGTTGATTGATTGATTGATCGGTGTGTTTGTACTGACAATCAATCAACGCTTCTGGATGGATGGATGTATGTTTTTTTTGCGAGTGTTTTATTAATTTTAAAAGAAGAGTTGGGTACTTTTTTCTTCAAATCAACTTTCAGTTCTTAAACTAGACACTTACATATTATTACGCACATGTAGTATGCATATACATATACATATATATCGAACTCAAACAATACGAATGTACACATTTAAATTTTAAAAAAGAAACGATACTATATTACCTAGTACATACAGTCAGTGTGCAAATAGTACACATGATCACTAAAGTACACAGCTGACTGTATATGTTTGCCTGTCTATCTATCTATCTATCCATCCATCCGTCGATCGATCGACCGATCGATTGATTGATCGATTTGTGTATGTGTATAAATAAACATTACTGGACAAGTACAATATGAGGTGACTGTATTGTATTGTATTTACAAAAGAGGTATTTCCCTGTCATAGGGGTTCGCATTATATTCCATGCATTGTTTGCCTACCTCTTATTGTTTCTTATTTTACATTCTGATTTCTTTTTTTTTAATTTTTGCTTGTTTAATTAATTTCTATTTTTTTTCATTCTTTACGTGTGTGTGTGTGTGCGTGTAAGCATTGACATGTATAATGTATTTCTTTGGTTTTTATTGTTTTTTTTTCGGGGAACGGATATGGGGATGATTCTTTGTGTTTTCTAACATATATATATATATACATATATACATGTATATATATATATATATTCATAAAGATATATTTAGTTATTTACTTAACGAGTTGAGTTCTGTTTCTGTTTTTGTTTTATCGCGAAAATAAAAACACAACAGCCAATGATACAATGATTTTCATTTGGTCGTTAAATATTTGCTTGGTTACGGTTAGAGTTTGATGAGTCCCAATAGCAGGACGAAACGGCGGCTGTCCAGTGCTTCTAGGTCTCTTTCTGTTGGTGGTCTAACAATGATTGATTGATTGATTGATGATTTCAATGTTCAATAAATCAAACGATCTGAGTTCATCAAATAGAATTCATGTTGATTAACAATTATCAATAGGTTGTCTTTGATAACTTGGAAAAAAAACAAACTAGTCAGTGATTGAAGGAAGATAATTTTAAAAATGACACTAGTCTATGAAATTGTTGCCTGTTAAGATGGGTGGTTGGGACATGTGTTGCGTATGCCTAACCACCGACTGGCTCGAAGAGCTTTGTTTTGTAGTGTAGGAATAGATTGGAAGAAAGTTAGGGGCGGCCAAACCAAAACATGGCAGAAATCCATGAAGTCATTGACAAGTGGACTGAGCCATGTCGGTAATTGTCGACTGCCTAGTTGGGGTCCGTGAGATGATAATAATCGATGGTTAGAGACCTTGAACGACATGGCTCAAAATCGTTTGCAGTGGATCCGGTGCATTTATTCTTTGTGTACTGTCAAATCATAATCTTCTGGATTCTTCAACCCCTCTAGTTTCGACTTTCTAAACTTTTCTCACTGAATCATACTTCTTGAATAATATCTTCTCATCCTAACCTCTCCGATTACTTCTAATACTTTTACTACCTCTATTACTATTGGATTTGAATTGACAATTACATCTCTGTGCTAATGTGGTATGGCAACATGAACTGATGTACTTACGTACGGAGTTCTACGTTGCATCTGACTGACTGTTAAGATTGAGACATACTGACAAGTAGAGACTATTTAATTGATTATTCTTATAGGAGTGTCAGGGACATTAGGTCCCCAGAACTTATTTGATAGAAGTCTTAACTTTGGATTTTATGTTTTAGCGCATAGGCTGATCAGTTGACCTTGAGATTACATTTTTCAGTAGGAAAATCTTCAACTGTTATTTGTTGGTGTATGCCAATTTTGTGGCTCTCCGAAGGACATTTCTATCAGGTAAAAAATATATTCGATTTGTGTGCTTGAAAAAGCCTCCTATTTTCTGGATGCTCGTAGAATACACTTTTCTACGTCTTGTCAAGCCTTCTTCTTCTACTTATTGATGCATTTGGGACGCTCAGATTATAGAGTAGCCTATCGTATCATAGCTCTTCTTATATAAAAAGAATATTTCAAGTATATACATCTGTAGTGAGCGAGAACACAGGTGGGGCAACCGGATTATATTTAACGAAAATTACAGAGTTACTCAGTAAAATCGGAAAACCATATCGTAAATCGTTAATTTGCAAAATATCAGTTCATCATATCGAACCGGACTGTTCCTTTTGCAAAACATCAATCCATTGTCACTGTTCATACGTTTCATACACAAATTCCATTGTTTTCTAACTCTTCCTTTCTTGATCTTCCCCCATCTTGTGCTGCCAGACATTATGGTTTTACTCACGTCATATACTACTTATAAGTAGCCCACACCACACATCTACAAATAACCTATAGTGTGTGCATGGGTAAACCGAATGTGAATTATGTAGTGTAGGTGTAAGATAAGCTTGACATTGAGTTAACTTGATTTGTATTACAGTACGAAATCCATTATCTATCGACAGACTATTGACAGTCTTTTGTTTAACCAAACGATAGATATTTTGTTATTGTTGTTCTTACTGATAGTGTTAGTGACGAGGATGATTGTGTTATCGAGAAGACTGAAGGTTGTGAAATCTCTTTTTTATTTGCTTAGTGAGAAAAATCATACTAATAAAGGCTATTTATTAGAGATATTCATTTCTTAAATTGACTAATGTTATATATATGATTAAAAATAGAGAATGAGTTGATCATTATGTAGTAGGCAAGCAGTTTGCTCTGTCCTAATGTTATGGCTTTAAAAACATGACCGTTGAGAATGGAGGGCATTCGTAAGGTGTCTTCGAAAGATTGCTGGTATATCGTGGGACAACCGAGTAAGCAATGCTGTCGTTAGGAAACAAGTACTAGGTAAGGATGACAGATAGGTCAATAGATGAAGTGGTGAAACTTCATCAGTTGAGGTGGTCGGGACATGTGTTACGTACGGCTAACCACCGACTGCCTCGACGAGCTATGTTTTATGGTGTAGAAAGAGGTTGATAGAAAGCTAGAGACGGTCAAACAAAAAACATGTCACAAATCCATGAAGTCACTAACAAGTGGACTGAGTCATGTTGGTAGATGTAGGCTACCTGGTTGTGGCCGGCGAGATAATAGTAATCGATGGTTAGAGACCCTGAATAACACTGGCTCAAAATCGTCTCACAATGGCGCAGGTGTATCCACTCTTTGTGTTCTTCAAAATTCTAATCTGACTTCCTTATTATCTGACCTTTTTATTTTTAAGTTTATTTCACTAGATTCTACTTCTTGAATTAACATCTTGGAACCTTAACCTCTTTGATTACTGCTAATACTTTTACTACTTCTACTACTAAGAGGTTCGAATTGACAATTGCATCCCTGTGCCTAAAGTGGTATAGCAACTTGAACTGATATATGTACGTACGTACGAAATTCTAAGTTGTTGTTGACTGACTGATTATGTAGGCAAAGCTAATAATAAAACTTTTCAAAGTACTAATATGTATCATTTGAAATGATCAATGATAGATATGATTATAACTCTGCATGAAGCCCTTCTGAAGGGGAGTGTTCGGCATAGGGTTTTTAGCTACCCCATGTTGTAGAAAACCAACTTGTTAAAAAGGAAATGCTAACCAGAAAAAAATAATTCAAACCATTTAAAATCTACTATAGGAGTAGATATGAGAATGCTGGTCGGTCGACTATGCTTCATTAGGAGTAACAGATGTAGGAGAAAATGCAAAGATAACTAACATTTTTAAGGAGTTTTAGTTGAAAACTAATAATACCAATAATAGTAGTAATGATATTGAGTGTTATTGGTATTATTATGCATTAAAATCATCAATCAATGATTGTTAGAAACCTGGAAGCACCAAACGGTCGTTTCGTTCTAGTATGTGACTCATCAGTACTGCACATCAATGACTTCTGCTACTTGCATGAATCGAACCCTTCGGTCTTGCGCGCCAACGCCTAACCTCTGGACCTTGTAGGTTAGCATCCAACGGTGTTAATATCCAACTTTGCTCAATCTAAGGATTTTTTTGCAACTTCACTAATTTGTCTTTGGTAGTAACTGCCCACACCCGACAGGGTCGAACTTCACTGGTCACGTATTCTCACTAGAAACATCTGTCTAGTGCTTCCAGGTTTCTAATGGTAGCCAGAAAATGATCGACTGATGATTTCATTGTGTAAAAACACTAATCTCTGTGATTTTAAGTGAAAAATCGTAAAATATGCTCACTAGTGACTA